GAATTTTAGGCAAATTTTTAGTAATTTTATGCAAACGAAGTGCAAATTGTGGTGAATTTAGTTAAATTTTTAGTAATGTTATGTAAACAAAGTGCAAATTGTGGTGAATTTAGTTAAATTTTTAGTAATTATATGTAAACGTAATGTAAATTGTGGTGAATTTAGTTAAATTTTTAGTAATGCTATGCAAACGAAGTGCAAATTGTGGTAAATTTAGTTAAATTTTTAGTAATGTTATGCAAACGTAATGCAAATAGTGGTAAATTGTAGTGTATTTTTAGTAATATTATGTAAATTGTTGAAAATTTAGGTGAATTTTTCAGCAATGTTGTGCAAACGTAATACAAATTGTGGAAAATTGTGGTGAATTTTGCATTTTTTTGGTAAATGTTAGCTAGATTTTTGAATAATTTAGTGAAATTTAGGATAATTTCGGACAATTGAGTGAAAATGTTTTACCGATTTTGGACAATTGAGTGTAAACGATATAAATGCAACATTTTCGAAGATAATTTGGTGAAATTTTGCAATAATTTCAGATAATTGAGTGAAATTTTCGGACAATTGAGCGAAATTTAGTAATAATTTTAAACAATTTAGTGTAAACGCTATGACAATTTAAAACACTGATTTATAATCTATTATAATTTTATTTATTAATAAATGCACAATTATTATTATTTAACGATAATCTATATTTATCAGATATCCGATAATCTATGGATAATCCGCACCAGTGCCAAAATAGAAAACCTAAAAAAGAAAAAAAATGAAACATTAATATACGTTTCGTAAAAAAAAATAAATTAAAGAAATATTTCGAAGTTATATACCTTCAAAATGTTGAATTCCATACGTCCAATAAGCCGCTGAACCTAAAAAAGAAAAAAAACGAAATATTAATTTATGTTTCATGAAAAAAATTAAATTAAAGAAACATTTCAAAGTTATATACCTTCGAAATGTTGAATTCCATACGTCCAATAAGCCGCTGAACCTAAAAAAGAAAAAAAACGAAACATTAATTTATGTTTCGTGAAAAAAATTAAATTAAAGAAACATTTCGAAGTTACATACCTTCGAAATGTTGAATTCCATACGTCCAATGAGCTGCTGAACCTAAAAAAGAAAAAAAAATGAAACATTAATAACCGTTTCGTTGAAAAAAATAAAAATAAAAAATATTTCGAAGTATACCTTCGAAATATTGAATTCCGGTCTGTCCAATGGCCGCCGAACCTAAAAAAAAAAAATGAAGCGTTAATAAACACTTCGTTGAAAAATAAAATAAAAAAATTTCAAAGTATACTTTCGAAATATTCCCTTTCGTTTTTCCTTTCCCTTTCGTTCTCACCCTTCCCTTTCGTCTTCTCTTTCGTTTTCTCTTTTCCTTTACATTTTTCACCTTCCCCTTTCATTTTTCACATTCCCCTTTCATTTTTCACCTTTCCCTTTCGTTCTCATCTTTCTCTTTACTTTCGTTCTCACCTTTCCCTTTCATTCCTTTAACCTATAAAAAAACAAAAAATAAACGAAACTTAAATAATGTTTCGTTATATAATAAAAGAACACCCCACCAAATGCCCGGAGTTTCCTTTGTCTCCTCCAATTACTTGGATGGGTTCTTCAATTCATTCACCTTTGCCAAGCACTTTCTTTTTGAACTTCTTAACCATTTTAGTTCCAATTTGGCAGAAGTGGATGTTAAGGTGATCTATAAAAAAAATTGAAACGTTAGTTAACGTTTCGTTAAGAAATAAAGAAAAAAATATAAACAAAAACAAAATTCCCTTTATTACCTTCCACCCAAAGTCC